AATTAAAACAAAACAAAAATTTAACTAGTACAACTAGGAAATTTTGCTGAAGAAACTTTCCCATTTCTGAGAAGCAAAATATTCTTATATTGGCCAGAATTTCAAAAACCAGGGAGAGTTTTGCTGTAAAAGTTATTTGTTTGCACAAGTCTAATTAAAGTTCTTTTCTTCCATTAGAGTACATACCATGTGGGTATATAATGTGGTACCTAAATGACAATACCCAAGTAACTGGAAATACTGACAATCAGTGAGTTCCAGAGGTATAAATCTCAATTCCTAAAACTAGTAACACCAGCAATTCCCTCTATTACTTTAATACTTATTATCTTCGTTACAGGTGCTTTTTTCGTATTAACATCGTTATTGTTACTGCTAGATTATCAGTGAACAGAGACACATTCTTGAATATGTGTAAGAGAAAAATACCTTTTTTTTTTTTTTTGTCTCTTTAGATACTTTGCTTGATTACATTCTAGTAAGGGAAGGATAGTTTAAGGGTTAAGGGATCGTAGTCAAATCGAGATTGTCATGATGTGAGTTTTACTTGTACCACAGACATCTGTGTCAAGTCTTCTAATTTCTGTGTAGGTGTACTCAGTTCTGCAACCTGTTGTGCAGTTGGCTTTGGGAGCCCACCTAAAGTAAACGGGGCTTGAAATAACACAGAAGTCCATATGCACATACATAATTGTACAGAGGATGTTATACCTAGTCATATACATGACAAGTAGAAATTATACATAAACATATTTAAAATGTACTTAATTATGTTAAGTTTTATTGAGTTAATTAGGTAAGAAGTGACAGGTTTTGTACGTTTTAAACCATTCAAACATGTTCCAGAAATATACCAATTGAAAAAACACTACAGGTTAGAAGATGTGTGATTGTGATGTAAAAAAAATAAATAAATAAAAAAGCAAATACAGCTAGTTCCTTTAAATCTGTAATATCATTCCTGACAGTTATTCTGTAGATATGCAATGAAAATTTAAAGAGACTGGTTTGATAGACCATTTAGTGGTATGAATTCAAAGGAACATTTATGTTTTCGTTTTCTGAACAGAAACCGTAGATTTATAATATTTTGTATTTCTGAGTGACCACTTAAAGTCAGCAAAATACATAACTTAGCATTAATTATCTGAATTGTTCTGGGGTGGACTGTGACTAAAAACTAGAACTGAACTGGTTACCACTTCATTATTTTTTTCTGTCAATAATGGCTACTACACACAATGGGATTTTTTTTTTTCTTTTAAGTGTCTACTTCCTTGGATATTTCCCCACTCTGTGACATCCCAACACCTCAGAATATGCTCTTTATGCTGACAGCTTGATGTTCAGTTTTAAATGTGATATGTGATATTGAAACTGAATAGAAAGATTAGATTGGGCCTGAAGGTTAGATGATGTTACTTTTGCTTCTCTGCTAGACAGTTGATGATACTTAAGTCCTTTTAAATGCTATTGATATCTGGAATATTGCAAACCTACATTGTAAGACCCTTCTTTACCTATACACCTAGTGTGTATAGGTCATTGGTTAGTATTCATGCCACTCATGCTTATAGTTCCTCTTTAAATATATATATATATTTTGAAGTCTGGTCCAAAGCCAAATTTGGCAATTTTCTGTTGATCTCTCCTCTTCCATGTCTGCTAAACATATTATACATGCTTATTTTTGCTAAAAAGGAGGGTTTTTTAGTTGATTCTTTTAGTAATTATAAGTAAGTTGGGATTAGTGTACACCTAGAGATCTGAGAAATAACATTGCTGAAATAAACATCTAGAGAGGCTGTCCAGGAAAAGTGATAGACTACAAAATGGGGGGTGTTTAATAAAAGGTTAGATGTGGTACTTAGGGACATGGTTAAGTGGGTAATACTGGTGGTAGGGGGATGGTTGGACCAGATGATCTTGGAAGTCTTTTCCAACCCTTATGATTCTACGAATTTATTTATGCATATATTCTACTTACTGATAACTATTAGTAAACTAACCTATGGAAGTTGAGACCTGACTGCTTAAAGTTATACTGTGCTTTAAAAGGCTGTTTTTTTATATATATTTTTTATGCATTAATGAGAAATTAGATTTGTTCAATGCTACTGTTTCAAAACTGTACCTATTAATTTCACTTTCTGAATATTTCCAGTTGTTCAGCTAAGTTTATCAGATTACAGCATTGGAAAATGCATTTCCAGACTGCAGGTAATCACCTCTGCAATTGTTTTGTTTTGAATGAATTGGAAAAGAAAGGGAGAATTTATTTAGTGTTGGTCAAATGAAGGTGACATTGCTCTGGCAAAGTATCAACTAAAATCTGTAACAATGTCAAATATAAAATAAAATATCTACACTATTAGCTGCTTTACCAGAGAAATTACATCACCCCCAGTAAGATATGTCAAATCTGTAGTACATGTAAATATGAGTTGTATTACATAAACATAGCACTGCACTGGGTAATATATGCTTCTGAATTTCAAAGTCTTTTAGTTGCTGAACTTTTGCCTTAGTATTACCTACATGCATGTACATTTTGCACATCACAAGAACAGCCCAATAGGGTGCGTATATGTAGGTACAAGACAAGTAGGAGAAGCAGAAACAAGGATTCAGCAGTGAGCAAGGCCAGTGCAAGAAGTTAGAAGAGTGCGTTGGTGTATATCAGCACTGTTCCAGATCTGCCAGTATAGTTTTATAATAAATGAGTTAGCAGTGTGCGAGAGACTGGGAAATATCATCTGCTGGTGTCAAACAGATACCCTTTGAAAACGACTTCAGCCTGAGCAACCTATTCCCCTGTGCAAGCTGATTAGTTTGGATTGGCATGTTTCTCCCCAGTCTTGCCAATTTTGGCCAATTGCTTAGCACATGCCGACATTTTAGCTCCCGAAGTTAAATATTGACATTGATATATGAGTGCCTACTGGAGCTTTGAGTAGAATTATAAGACACTCATTTCACATACACAGTACTAATGCATACTGTGTTTTTCCTATCATTAAGAATTTTGGAATCATCTCCTCATATATAATTTGTTTCCCATTTATGTGATGTTATAAGCTGCAAATTTTAAGGATAAATTCACTTACTTCTCTCTTCTTTATAAACCTTTTTTACAATGTTATTACTGTTCAATGAGTTCATGCATTTGCTCTAGCCACAAGCATACCTACTGCTACTCCTGATACTAAAAATTGATTTTTTTAGCTGCTGGAATAAGGTTGTGTGTTATCTGTCTGGAGACAGCTGTTTCAGCCTTTCAAATGCAGTGAGAGTTGCAATGAAAAGATTCCCTTCTTCCTTCAGAAGACAATTCCAGGACAGTCAAAACTAGTGACCACTAAAATTTGGCACACAACCCAAAACATAGCCAGTGCATTGGACCACTGAAGAGGTTACAGGTGAACGTACACAGTTATTATCTAAAAAGTGTGTGTATATATATATATATATATATACATATATATATGTATAACATAGTTATTAAATTACTATTTTTACAGAAATGTACAAGATATAATTTATAGGCAAGTGGTGCAAACACTATGATACTTCTGGTGTTTAAAACTACCCACAACAAATCAACCAGTGATGTACATGAAAACAATTAAAATTTTTCTAAGTTCTACAAGAAGGCTATATTAATAACTGTGTATCTAATTAATGCTCTTTTATAGATGCTAAAGCCAGGAAAAAGGTACCTGAATGTTGATTAACTGTCTAATCAAAAACATGGTTCTGATCTCTTCTTCCATTTTCCCATTACTCCTTTAACATTACCAAGGTTTTGATAAAGTCCATGATGTAATGAAGACTTTAAATTATGCAGAGATTAATGTAATATTTCTGATGAGAGGGTAATTGAAGGAAATCTAAGGAAATGGAGCATGCCTGAGTTGAACTCCAGACTTCAACTGTGTTAACTCTCTTCACTATGTTAAATGAGAATTACAGGATGAATACATCTTGGGTAAAGTTCACTCCTGTACAGAGGGTCAGCATGAAACCTAAATGCCTTTAATTTTTATAAGGTTTAAACTGCCATTTAAGACACAGGATCTGTAACGATGGGGAAAGAAGGGAGCATGTCTGGTCTCATAAGGTACACATCTTTCAAAGGCTTTGGATTAATCAAGTTATTACTGTTTCTTTAAAATAAGCAGGGGTTTGGGTCACTAATTTACAAACATGTTCAGAGAAAGCTAAGGCTGCAATGTAGAAAGGTAAAGTGTTTGGAAATCACAAATACTTTTCTGAGCTAAGTAGAAGTAATTTGGCAAGTGAGGTTGTTTACTGGCTGATTAGGAGGGTTCTGATGGACCATGGGCTCTCCAGATCCTGAACCATGGTAAACAAGGTTACATGCTAAAGGCTGTCTTTTTTTTTTTTTCCTAAGATGGGGCATTATGCATTCATGGTTTTAAAGAGTTATGTGCATTTTTTTCTCCATTGTCTTTTATCATATGAATCAGAGTAGGGAATAAACAGTAAATTAGTCCACTGTGAAGTAGACAGGTGGCTGCGGTCATTGAAGAAATCGATATTATAGATACTGTCTTTATTAGCCGGCTTACTCCTTTTTTGAAGCAATTCAAGTGACTGAAACCACGATACCTAGATGATGATTCAGATATCAGTCCTGTAGAGTCTTCTGCTACCTGCTTCAAACCTTTTGACTTTCCAATCAACTTTAGTGGGAGTAGAAAGGGGATTTTGTTCCATCTTAGGTAACTACATTATGAACCTAAACTGCATACTTAGACCTATATTCCTATAGCATTATTACACTCCATCCAGATAAACACTTCCAGTTTTCATTTTCTTGACCAAGAAAAGCAAAAATGATCCTCCAAAGTACTAATGCCAACCAACATCATCCATTTACAATAACGAGCCCTGAATTCTTATCTGAGACAAATTAACCATATTAGTAACAATTCAGACAGCAAGCACATAAGAACAATGCTGTAAAGTTCACTTACCTCATATTTGACTGCTATCTTAAAAGGAATGTGGCTGAACATTTCTCTCAGGAATAGAAGAGCTAGAGCAGAGACCTGTGAGGTTAAAAATGGCGATGATAACATTGGAGACTGCACTGAGAGTGAGTTCTGGAGAAAATAAGTTCTATATAGTTATGCTAGCTTTATGCTGCTTGTGCATTCCCCAGATACTCTAAAGCGAAGGGGTGAGACGTGGCTATTGGCAATAAAAGAACAACGATGTACACATCACCTTTGTGGCTTTCATACCTGCAGCTGTATACAGCAAAACAGTTGGAATCATGGATCATCATGTCCAACCTAGCAAACCATTAATCTACCTACTTGTAGTAGGTAGACAGAAAATCACATTTAAAACATGGTTTTAACACACGGTGTGTAATAATTGAGTGCTGAGATGAGCTAAAATATAGTGATGATTTTTACATCTAATACTACAAATATAAAATAATTACTAGGCATAATGGTAATTAATGTACAGGTCTAAACCTGCCACGTACAGGCTTACCAGGACATTAGGTTCCTAAAAGAGCTAGTCAGCATGGGTCAGCAAATGTTCTTGCATGCATTTGCACATTTTATACTCACAATATTCCTTAAATAGTAAGAATCTGTTGCTGAACACAAACTGTAAATATAAAATGCATGAAAATCTGTCAAAACAAAACAAAACTAAAGTCAGTGGATAAACACTTGAAGCCTGACATCTTTAGGTTGGTTGTTTAGAGATGAGAATGCCCTAACACTTTGGCAGTCTGTGTGTATTTCTGGAACTTTCATTTGGTCCTTATTGGCAGAAGAAAGAAATAAAAGCAAACAAGAAAACTACAATTCCTCTATAGAAAACAATAATGCACAATAGCAATCCAGCTGGGAAAATAAAGACATTTTAAATACAAACCAGATACTTGATCAGATCTGCAGAGAATATATACTACAGCAGTTCTGTGATTTCTATAGCTCTGCTTATATTCATCATTAAGGTTTCTGCACAATACTTTGGTCATTTTTGATTTCTGTAGATTTTGTTTTAAGGGCATTACTAGCCAGAGTGCATGTCCAATAACACACCTTGTAAGATTATATCAGAATATTTTTAGAAAGTAAATTTTTATCGACAAACTTCGACATTAACCACAGAAATTAAAAGTTAGTCTAACTTCACCATTGGATGCAAGCAAAAAAAAATATATATATATTTTTATTCACCATTGTTTGCAATAGAAAGAACCAAAACAGATCTGGTCTTGAATAGTCTTACTGGAAGTACTGAAGTTGGTTAGCTACATAACTTTTATAGCCCCCTAATTTTGAATATTGGAGCTCTTTTAAAAGTCAGAAGCAAAGGATATGTACTATTCCTCCAATCAATGTTTAGAAAAAATTATTTTAACAAAACTTTAATTAAGGCTGGTGAAATGGCTGAGCTGGATTCATAGTAGTCTTATCACCCATTGCTAAATGTCAAGATTCTTGTAGATCTGTCAGAAGTAACACATGCTAAGGAGAAAGCTTTTTACAGATGCTTGCAGGGAGCTCCTCCTATTACATGAGAAAGCCTGGGAGGAAAAAAAGAGAAAAAAAAAAAGCCCAAAAGGTTTCTTTGAAAACATGTCAATGAAAGTTGGTGTCATAGTGTATGAATATGAAAAAGTGGTCATGTGGGGATGATCCATGAAAAGACATGCAGTAGGGAAGAAGCAATGGAGTCACAGTAACAGAGGTGTTGTTGAAGTGGCAGAGTAGGAAAATACTCTGTACAGCAAAAGACTGTCAGGATATGAACTATAGTATCTTGATTTTGACAAGGGCTGTGAAAACATGTTACAAACCTGCTGAGGAGTGCCTGGGCAGGATATTTACTGTTTGAATGGCTAGAAACAGCCATTTGGGATGATGTGTGAAAGAATCCTCTAGATTAAGATGCAACCTAAATACACAGACCTAGAAAGAAGATTCTGTGACAAAAATGTTCTCCATTTTGTCTCACTTTTTAAGTTTGAATAAGAGGCAGAATGATAGTGTTGTCCAGAGCAATCAAAAGAAGAACTGGAAGGGAGTGCTTTAGGGGAAAGATTTAAGAGCTAAGTTTTTAGCTGTAGAGAGCTGTCTGCTAAACGTTGAAAAGGTAGAGGTCAATATTGTAGCCTAAATGGAAAAACAGGTAGGAAGAGTAAGATCTCAGAACTGCTGGCCCTGAAGCAATTGCTCAACGTGTATGAATGGTAGCACAGAGAAAGGGAAGAAATTGAAGTGGGGAAAACAAAATTTCCGCAGATACCTGGAATGTAAAGAATAAGACAAAGATGTGCAGGAAAAGTGATTACAGACCTTGTAGGAAAATGACAGGAAGATGTAGTCACAGGAGCTGAGGGAAGCATCAGATTTCCAGGCATGTGATAGAATGTGTCAAAGACAGCTGACAGGTCAGATATGATGAGGTTGATAAGTGATTTCAGTAGAAGGAAAGTCAAAGCAGGAGCTGCAGTGCTTCAGGATGAAAGGGAGAAGGGAACTGGGGCAGTGTTTGGAGAGGCAAGTGGGGAAACAGGCAGGGAAAATCAAAAGCATGCTTACATTTGTGAGAAAAGCTAGCCTTCAACTAGTACAGTTAAAAAAAAAAAAAAATATTCATAGTTAAAGCTGACCTAACTAGTTTTAATATATAGTTTACTCAGGAAAGGCAAGGTGCGTGATAAGGTAGTAACATTCATTGCATCTGTCAATATGATGTAAAATATACAAGCTTTTCTTCAGGTCTGCACATAAATCAACATATATTGCCCTTTATTTACAAGCTGTTGGTGAAGCAGTCACTAGCTGCTTGAATTTGTGTGATATTTATAAATTTTGTGCTGACAGATTCCTCTAAAGTTTCAGCCTATGGATTATACAGCAATTCAGTATAAGAGGTGCTGTTCATTCATCACATACCAGTGCCTGTCCCCAGCAAGGAGACCTCCAGGGACCTCCAAAAGATTCAGAGGAGCATTGCTGATTCAAAAGCTAGTATTATTTACTTTGAGTCAGGCTTGAACAAATGCCCTTAAATGATAATAAACTTCATTGTGACTTGGAAATACATTTTTTCAGATAGTTTGTGAAATCAGACTCCCAAACTTTTGCTTTTCACTATCCCAGGAGAACAAGTTGTTTATGAGAATTTAGTCCCAGCCAGTCCTTAATCCAAACATATCCAAACTCTGGCAGTCATGCTTACAAAATTCCTATAGAAGCCTAGAGCCTAATTTTGTGGTCAGACCTTTTCTTTAAAATGCATACTAAAAATCCCAATCCCAAGCAATTCCAGATTTTATCTTATTTGGAAATCTCAGTGGCACTTCTCACTTCAGTGAGCCCCATCCATCAGTTCCCTCTATGGATTCTCATACTTGTTTAATTTGCTTTACTGACCTTTGTTTAACAGAACTGAAGCCATGCTGCAGGGGAAGGGCAGGCTGTGGCGTGCTATCCAGGTGTCTGTTTTTCCGTACAGTCCATATGGACAGGCCCCTAGCTGGAGGAATTTAATATTGAAGTCAGTTAAAATAATACCAAAATAATAACAAGAAAAAAGCAGATAAAGTAAAAACAGCCTTATCAATAATTATATTAAACTTGAGTTGCCTTGAAGGAAAAGCAGATAATTAAAAACAAATAAAGAGCACAGACTAACGTATATTAATGACTGTGATGTTACTGCTTCTTCTGTTAGGTGTCTGTAATAGTAACAGAATTATATACTTCATCATTTAAGGGTACAAATGCAATATACATTAGACAAACATTTCCTGCCTTTGTGTCAGTTTTCATACACATGCTCGATAGCAGCTGTGTGTTTTGATGCCACAGTCACCTTGGCCCAGGTTACAGAGCCCTGCATCTCCATAAGGCCATTGCTACACTGTTGTGAGTTAATCACAGTGGGCAGCTCAGCACCACACAGCTGCTCACTCACTGCTGCTCCAGTGAGACACGGAAGAGACTGAGAAGGGTAAAAGCTAGAAAAATCATGGGTTGAGATGATGAGAGTTCAACAGGTAAAGAAAAAGCTGTGAGCACAAGCAAAGCAAATTCATTCACTGCTTCCTATCAGCAGGCAGATATTCCTGCTATTCCTTCCTATATATTCCTGATACATAGGAATATGTATATCCTATATAGATATTCCTGATATTCCTTCCTATCAGCCATTTCCAGGAAAGCAGGACTTAGCGCACATAATGGTTACCTGGGAGGGCAAAGGTCATAACACTGGATATCCTTCTCCCCATCTTTCCACCAGCTTTTATTGCGAAATGTGATGGCATAGGGTATGGAATATCCCTGTGGTCGGTTGGGGTCATGTGTGCTGGCGGTGTTCCTACCAACTTCTTGTGCACCCTAGAATACTAGCTGGCAGGGCAGCATGAGAAACAGAGAAGGCCTTCACACCGTGCAAACACTGTTCAGTAACTAAAACATCGCTTTGTTATGAACTCTCTTTTGATCAAAAATCCAAAGCATACCACCATAAAAGCCTCTAAGAAGAAAGTGAAGTCCATCCCAGCCAAATCCAGTACAACCAGTAAACCAATACTGTAAGGTCAGAAATTGAATTCATTTGAGAGGGACCAGACCAGCATCAGCACACAAGCAAGCTCTAAACTGACCTCCAGATGACCTTAGCTATGTGTTTTGTTAATATCATTCTTATATGTTTTTTATTTAATGGTTGGACTTGATGATCTTAGAGAGCTTTTCCAACCTAAATGATTCTATGACTCTATTGCAAAGCCAAATATTTGCAACTCAGTACTGTCCTATTGATGCCAAGTGAAATTGGAGGAAAGCAACCCATTATCTACAACTGATAGATTAGCCCTTAATCTTTTTTTTTTTTTTTCTAAGCTTGTTTACTAGCTTCATATTATCAGGGTACCCATCTAAAACAGGAAAAATCATTCAAGTTGTGCTACCTTCACTTAAAATAAATAAATAAATCGAAAGGTTAGGCAACAAAGATAAGATTTGCATTTCTGTAGCAACGTTAATAAACTATGCCAGCTCTTTTAGTCCCTGGTATATTCACAAATTAGAATGTTATTCTTAAAAAATATATAATGTTTGTTTGCTCTTTACTAGTCAGCGTGCACACGCAAGGGAGGCTTACTGGCATTTTACATGCACTTTTGCACCAACATAACTGAACGAGGTGTCAGATGGGTCCTGAATTAGGTCCTGACTCAAGATTTATGTTCAGGCCTCCACTCTACATCTTTCTGAAATGCCCTGCAAAGGTCTCTGAATGCTCCAAGTGACAATTTGGGATTTCTTCCTGGAGATTTCTGTCTTCACAAATAATTGTTTCTAAACCTGGATAATTCATAGTGAATTACTGATGAATGTGCCTCTACTCAATAAGTAATTTGGGGAGGGGGGGGGGGGAGGGGAGGGGAAGCTAAAAGGTACTGTGATCTGCATAGTAATAATCATACCCATTTCCCATCATTTAGGTCTGTAAGAACTCCTGACATTTGAAGCTGTCCTACCATGTTGCCGTGGCAACAAGAAAAAAGAAAACGTCAGATCTGAAGACTGCAGTTTACAGTTACTGTTCTTCACTACTAGGCCTCAGTTGCTCCAGATTCTGTTTAATTTGCAACCTCACAATCTGTCCAACTATACATTGGTGTTTGACAGCCTCTACCCTAACTTCCATTTATTAATGGACTCCTCTTGCAAGACGCAAGGTTTATGTGACTTTCCACTGAATGTTAAAAGACCATGACATCTAAACTTGACCTTCGGGGAGCAGAAAACAGATTGACTCCATTTTTTTCTAACTGTTGACTTGTTGCTATTCAACTGTTCAGAAAATATTTTGTCTGTGGGTTAGTATTTGTATATGTATGAGTGTATGTATATATATATATATTTATATGGAGAGAAGAGTTATAGGACTGGTTTAGCTTTTATAAAATATTCATCTGGACTGTGCAAGTGACAAAGCAGAATAATACAGCCACAGATGAATTGTAGCTATTCTGTATGGCTAAACCTACTGTATTTGCTGTTTATGGTGTAGCCAGAAGGAGAGAGCCTATTGCAAGCATATCAGTAAAAGAGCTTCATTGTTGACACCAAATTAAGCAGGCCCAAGGCTCTGCAGCAACACTTCTTGTACCTCAGGTTCAGCAAACAGGAAATGCAAGTCCTCCTGGCTCATTTCTGATCTGGACTTCTTTCCTTATGCCCCATTTGAAATTTAAGATCACCCAGGAGCACAGCTCTTAGACTCCCCTTGCAGCGGGAGCAGTGCCAGGAGGTGAGACAAGCTCAGATTTGTGAGACAGTGGGGAGTAGTCAGCTGCGACTGGCTCTGTGTGGGTCGCTATCGACAGCAGTGGGACATGCTGGGCCTGATTTTAAAGGGGGTAAAGTCAGCTTCCTTTACGTTCCTGCAGATAATTATTTGCTGGGGCAATTTACAAAATTTAAGTCTTTTGTCAGTTCTGCAGACACAGTTAAGTCAGTAGATGTCTGCATGAGAAGCTGATCAGAACAGCATAAGCAAGGTATTTCTCAGAAGCACTGGTCTCTCTTTCAGCCTCTGCGCAGCTGTCATCACACATACATGCGCAAGGAGGAAAACAGATACCCTATTATATAAATATATTCACTATATATATAGTTTTGAATATATATATATATACATACATACACATGTACACACAGTTTCCAGTTAAGAGTAACAAGAGCATTTCTTTGTGTGCATAAACTTACCACACTTATTTGCAGACATGGGAAAAAAGGGTGTTCGTTACATAGGAATATGAATCCTTTTATATTCTGTGAGCATGTAAGGCTGAAAAAAAAAGAAAAAAGAAAAAACCTAACTGTATGAAGATGATCATCTTGTCGATAAATTGTAAATGATCCATCAAAGCTCACACCAAATTTTTATAAATTTAACACAAAAAGTATACTAGTGACAGACTGTGGCTTTTATTAGAGCTTGCCAGTAACTAGGGTAAGGTAAGTGTCTTAGAATATTTTAATAAACTTGCTTATTTAAAGTTTAAACAAGAAAGCTTCCTTATGCAATAGAACTTTGCAGCTGCATTCTTTAGTTAGCATTTTTACAGTACTTATGAGTCATACTGTATGTTGTCTTTACTACAGTGAGATTATGAGCATATCTTCCACATCACATATATGTTTCAATAGTAAAGCTTTTTGGAAACATTAAAAACTCCAACCATACATTTAGTTTTCCATAATGCTACACTAGATATTAAATGTGTGTTGGTGGTTAAAAATTGCTGTACAATAGCTTTTCTCTGACTTCCTGTATTGTACCAAATATGACAACAGATTTTTGTTTTGTTTCTATTCAAAAGAAGTAATAACAATGGCAACAGAGGAAAAATTAGTTTGTGCCAGTGAGTTTCCCTATCACTGTAAATTTATGGATAAGATACAAGCTACCTTCAAACAAGAACCTGTTTTTCTCTTCCAGCTTAACTCCTGCAGTCCTGGCCAAGTGAAATCTCCCACTGACCTTGTTTCTCTTGCAGCACGCTCTCGGTGTTTCACTTTCCACAGTGGTGCTTTGAGGTTAGTGGGTGTTTCTGTTGAGCAAGGAACTTCAGGAGTGGGCTGTTATGCAGCTGCAGGCATTTAAAAAGGAAGTGCCTGGTCTCAAACATTAACATGGACATGCTTCTAGTTCTCTTTCTCTGCCCATGCCTTGTAAAAATCATGTGCTGCTGCTTTATTGTCAGCAGTCATGTCTTATTAAAAAAAAAAAAAAAAAAAAAAAAAAAAAGGCAATGTTTTCAAAAGGAAAAAAATAAATAAATCAACAACTGCCTAACACTACTGGATCTTCAGGATATGTGTTTAGTGACTTCGTCCAAGCGCACCCAAAGACGAACTGCACCCTCCACTTTTGTCTATGAAAACTCTATCTTGAATAAAAGAAATGATAATATCCTCCCCCCAAAGTACTCTTTTTCTACTTGCTTTCTTCCTCTTTCTATCAAGCAAAACCCACCTCTGGAAAAGACACCCATTGCCATTAGTGTCATTTTTATCAAGTACCACATAAAGCTACCCTTTTCTAATTTACACCAAGGTTCACATAGCATTTGGTGGATCATTCCAAGGACATCCAAAACCAGGAACAAAGAAAAAATTCTTCTACCTGGAACTGCACTAACAATGGATAGACTCTTTCTACTAATTTGTGCCCAAGGACAATAAATCTTTCTTCTCAGATAATACTGCAACCTTTTGACATGTAGAGAAGTCAGTACAATGGCTGAAATGCTGAGTCAAGATGCGTCAAAGGCTTTAATCAACATTATCACTTTATCACTCCAACCAAATTAAAGTCACCCAGCCTTCACTGTGTATCTCTTTAGGCCTCCGACTGAGCTAATCACTGGACTACCTAAGCACTCAAAGAGAAGATGAAGCTGCCATGTTAATGTTTCTCCACCGTACCTGAGAACCAACACTTTAATAAGTGACTGTGTCACGTTCTGTGGCATTATACAAATGAGGAACCGCATGAGAATCTGAATTTTCTTACCTGAAAATAAGCTCAAAAAATGCTATTCATTATCTGAAACAAAGGAAAAATAACCTTTTTTTTTTTTTAGTTTCTCACACTATCGTGAAAAAGCAGAGAGGTTGCAAAATTAGTTGGTGTTTTTGTTTTTTCTTTTTAGTTAATTATGTTTAACATGTGTTCAGCCACGCTTGCTGTTTTTATAATACAATGCTGATTTCTACCTAGCTATTTTGGTCACTACAATGTTTATTTCAGCCTATGTTTGCAGACATACAATGCTGTCTGGTGTCAGAAAGGCAGTGAACCTGATTTTTTTTTGGTTTTGAAACATCATAAAATGTCTTGTGCAAAAACCATTTCAATTTAAAAAGAGTATCTGCTGTTAAAACACAAAGTGGGTATAACAATCAGCAAGAGGAGTTCATTAGCAAGGTAAAGGTGTCATTTGTGGTGTACTTGCTAATTGAACTCTGTACACCTCATGCTTGTGCTCACGATATGCATATGTGCATTTATTAATGTACATTTTGTTCAGTAACTGCAGGTCTGAAGATTAAAACGAAGGGAAGCCAGCTAAAATTTCCTACTGCTTAGCAAGGAAAATTAGGTAAGAGCGGAACACTGGCTAATACACTTTCTGAGCCCCATTCTCATCTTACTTACACTGGTGTAAATTAAAGAGCAATGCCATTAATAGTCTTGTTTGAGCTTCAGTTAGTTGTATTTAAATTACATTTTTAATTTAAACCTCTCAGCATATTGTTTTTACTGGTCTGCTGTGAACAGTAAAGCACAGATGACTCACTTCCTTCACCAACCACTTTAACATGTCTCTAAGGAACCAAGCATAATTTGGTTTAACCTTTATTTGAAGTGGCTGTGGCCTGTAGTCAAGTAATTTGTCCTGGTCTCCCGTGTAGTCATTTAAGTTAGGTATCACTGTAATACAATCCTCATTTATTAAATTGTGGACTTACAATCAGTTCATAGGAACCTATGTTAAATGTTTTGTCACTAGAAAAGGAAAGATGTTATAGTAACAACTTTCACATCATTGATCTTTCCTTTGCAAGACTTCTTGCTGAAACACTGAGAAAAATGCTGGGTTTTGTCTCAATAGTGCACTTAGCCGTTTGAGACACAGCAGAATTTTGTACACAAATAATTTTACACCTTATCTAAAAGCCAAGTTTCTTTCTGAATGGGTTTAATAATTACTCATATAATTAAAGTTAAAAAAGAAAAACAAAACAAAACAAAACATGATTAATCATGTTAAACAGTCATGTCAGCTTGAGAACAGCAAGTCTAGGACAAAACTCTGATCCTATCTTTCCTTTGTTGCATCTCTAGAGACTCAGTTGTCTGAGAGATATGCTGGCCAATGGTGACAAAATGAGAAATAACTAAAATAATAATAATTTTCTATTAACTCTGATCTATAATATTTAGAGTTAACAAGCAAAGTATTTCATTAGTAGTTATAACAGCTATTCTCTTTAAAGCAGATATAGCTGACTATTTAACTGTGTAAACCATATAACCCATTGACTACACTGTTTTCACATCAAGATATGCTAGTTGGTTTATATTTGTCCAAATGAAATGCATACACTCATCCACTCTCCGTGGAAAGTTATTAGTTGCACAATTGCTATGTGTGTGTATATATGTAGATATATAGAGATATACACATACATATATAAATATATATATATATACTATATGCAGATGGAGACTAATACAACATGGGGACTTGGAATAAGCAGTTTAATCCAATGATTCAAAGATGAGTTAAGAGACAGCTTGTGTTACGTACATGTATGCCAAACCAGTCTGATTACAAAAAAACAACAAACTCCACACACTGAAATCCAGGCTTATTCCAACTCTCATGTTGTATTTATGCTACCTGTAGCTGTCCCCTCTTAATAAAATTTATATCATTTGAAGATATCTATAATTATTTACCAACTCTCTCTCTTTTTTTTTTTTTTCTTTTTTCTTGTCTACATATCAGCTGGTCATCAAAAGTGGAAAGGGAAGGGTTTAGAGCCAGAATTCTGCATTTCTCTGCTTTTGACAGGACAGATATTTAGGAAAGTTTCATTAACCCTTTGACCATTACACTCCTTCTCTGCATCAATAAGTGGCTGTATTTGATCATTTGGGGGTAGAAATTAATGTAAAGATAGACTATGTGTATGTACATGCATACACACACCACCCAGGACTGTAGAACAAGAGCAAGTCTGGTGAACTGATTGTGAATTCAGTACAAACAAGCTGTGTTGTTACTGCCATTTCAGACAGACACCGCCTGTAAAAACATATTTGCCCCATAACAATCTCTCTATCTCTCTCTGTTATCACCAAGATGTTTTTTATGAGTTCCTTTCTTTTTTTCTTTTTTTTTTAAAGCTCAAACAAGGAGAAAATATTTTGTTTGATTAAAAATAATAATAATAATTCAGCTACTTTTCCAGTTAATTGTTCCTTTGGGCCCTAGTTGCTGAATTGCTTGCTGTTTCTGAGGTGTAAATAAACGTTTTGATTTCTGACGTGGTTGCAAAGAAACTTGTAATTTATTTGTGAAATGCTCAAATAAAGGATGTATGGGCTTTTACCTTTTGTCTGGGCGTAGACCTTGCTGATGCAGTATAGCAGGAAAGGAGGACTACAAAACGACCATGTGACTGTCAAAGCACTGGAGTAGCCTGAGCTAAATACAAGAAGCTCCTACATTGCTCTAAGCAAAAGAGATGAATTGTGGCCTTCATCATCATCATGCCATGTTTATAGAGTGAAAATCTGGAGGTCACAGATGTAATTGAAGTTTGACCATACAAGAAAGCAGTAGTAGATTATTCAGCATCTATTCAGCTAACAGTAACGCTTTGCGATCTGAAGCCACACTTTCATTACAAAGAGTCGCACTGAGTGAAATACAGGTCAGATGTCCCTAGTCTGAATTGTGTGCAGAAGCTTTAATGGATTTTTGTTGCACCTCCTTTCTGCTTCACCTGTTCACCTTCCCCACCTACTACCATCATTTCAGCTGACGTAGAAGAGATATCCAGAAAAGTGCACATAGAAACACTGAAACATGCTGAACAAATGTCAGTTGGCAAGAACCGCATTGGCAAGCTACAGAAAGGACGGCATTGCTGTCGTTCAGTAGTACTCACTGCTGTCATGGCTGATGACACGATGGCATTTAACAGTGAGTATTGCCATAGTCTGTAGTCATGTCTGATATGCTCCCTCCCCCTGCTTAAGTGCCGTGGCAGTATCATCATGCAGATATGAATGCAGATGTGGTCTACTTGTTGCCCTGACTCATAAAGTCTTAGTCCAACATTTAGTGCCCTTATGTCCTTCAAGCCTGCGCTGCTCTAGGACAGGTTGTCCCCAGAAGTTTGCACTGCTCTAATGTTCTGTACCAGGAACTTCAGGCTTTATTGATGAAGTTTATCCCTTTAACATGCATTCCTAATAGCAGGACTTGAGGTTTATAAGATGCTATTTTCTTTTTTGTCCAATCTCTATTTATGAGAGGTAAGGAAGCTGGGTGCTTTGTGTGCTTTTTCCTGTGCTGCCAGCTGCTCCCAGTCATTGCAAAAGTTTCCAGCAGGTGACGTAATAAATAGTAGACCAGAACCAAGGCCAGAATAAAGAACTTAAAGCTAGGCAGAATTAAAATATTACAGGGAATTTGCATCACAGCACTATGGCAGTATTGCCTTTTTGCCAGGAAATTATTTTTCCTGCACATAGCCTGAGATTGTTGGATTTCTGAAAATCATGTGAGTTGATTTTTTTTTTTTTTGAATGGTTTTCTAGAAAGTTACCTAAAGTGACAAAGAAGCATAAAGATAGAATATCCCTGATAAAGGGTTTTACTACATGTGAGAATAGAGGACACAGGGGAGGAAGGGCAGTGCTAGAAGGAAACATTTGAGTACAAGCCACAGCAGTTTGCTTTCCCTGAGATCCACCTCCACGGGCTTCTGCTTTGTATCTTTGCCTATGGCCTAACATTTATCAGGCTTTGAATCAAAAGGGGGCTTTTTATGTGGTCCGTAATAAGTAGAGGATGAAACAGTGTATATGACACTTGCAGTGTAATTGAGCAAAAGGTCATTACCTGAAAGCCACAGCTAAAGAGTGTCACCTTCTTTGGTGTCAGTTGAGATCATTGTCCTAAACTAATGCTGTGCCTTTTATCTTAAAAGGGTCATTTGAAACACTATAAAGTTAAATCATAAGTAAGGAAATGGTAACAGAGAGAGAAAATGCTGAAGATTTTTAGTCAGGTAGAAGTTTTCCATTGCCCTTTTGACCTTATGCCTCATCTAACAGCACACCTTCTGGATTGCAGTCTTACTGTTACTTGCTAACTTTGCACAGTTCAATCCAGTTACATTTTTTTGCCTGCAATAGTAAATCAGAACAGCCTCTTCTGGCTTCAGTACAACCTTCTTACCTGCAGAAACAAAGCAAGGGTCATTGCTCCTGCTGTAAAACTACCGGGATGCTCTTCCTCAACTGCCACGCCTCTGGCCGGACTCTACTCAGCCACCTCCTGGTGCTTGATGACCTTCACTGCTCCTGCAGTTACAACAGCATGTAAGTCAATGTAGTCCAGTACATTTCAACATTATTTTATATTTTATAACTCATGACTCATTTTCTGGTTAATGTTTTAATTGTGGGATACTCACTATCATCGCTGTAGCTGGATGTACTTTTTTATGACTTACCATCCAAATTTGAAAAGTGAAAGTATTTACAGTGCTTGTTTACTGCAGGCATGCTGAAAATTCTGAATGAAAAACTTTATCTGGACTCCTACATTTAACAGATTGTTTGCAAAGTGTTCTTCAGTTACAATACTGGAATAATTGACCTGGGACCAGGATGCTCATAAGCAGTTACTCTTGGGGTATATATGAAAAAACAAGCACCTCTCACTGTATTGTCTTTCCAAACTGAAGATATACTTTAACAGAAGGATAATGAACCATAAGTAGACAATGCTTACAGACTGGATTAAATCTTCATGTCACTAACAGGTTTTTAAAATTTTAACTTTTATAGATACAGCCACTGTTGTTTACGCTGGTTATCTTGCTTCATGCCAGGAGCCACCAGGGAAAAAATTTTATATGGGGCTAATTTTGCCATTCTAGTTATCTTGCCAACTCTACACTTGCTGTAATTGATCTGCTAGGGACAGTGGCAAGATAATAAGTCTAGCCTGCATTTGGAAATGACAGCAAATCAAACAGTGCTTCTTTGTACACAAATAAATAAATAAAACATAACATCAGCTGTGTCTCATTCTTTGTGCTATTTGATCAGCTGCAGTAAACACCTTCCAAGTAGCCATAAAACAGGGATTATAACCTGCCTTGGGGTTACAGCATGTATTATTGACTTGGCTGGTACCAAGGGAGTTAGTTTTTGGTGGGATTTGAACCACCTAGTTCACTGGCAGTGCTAAAAAGCTAGAACACTGAGAGCTGAAACTCCTCAACACATTAAATAATTATGTAATTGTAAACTTTTTTCTTTTTTTTAAGTCCGAAGCTAATATACACTGAAATGTTCCCTATATCTCCAAGGTAACTTAACTGTCATCATCCTTCATGTCGAACAAAACCAGCAAAACCTCTAGAGAGCAGGTGCCCCAATTAACAGATATTCAGCCTTTCAGCCATTCAATCCTTTTTTGGATTGCCAAAACCAAAAAGAACAAGATCAAAATACTTATTTCTTAATGGGATGATAGCGAATGTGACAGAGTCCAACAATAAAACAAAGTAGAAATGATATATTGCAGTAACTACAATAAACCTTGTTCCTTTAAACAGTAAGTTTAGAGGAAAGATTTAGACTTTCTGGTGCACATGTTCAAGCTGCAGCTATTAACTCCATCATGTAAGAACTAGACCAGTGCTAGAAAGCTTAGCCATGGTACCTGGCAAGTTTTGCCATTGTTACTAATGGTAAAAAATGCATTAATCCATTTGAAAATGTCTCACTTTTGGACGCTGCACAGAGAAATTTAAACAATAGCAGCTCTAGAGAGCAATCCTTTCTTTGAGCTGACTAAAAAACCCTGCACACTCAGCCCTGCCAAGGGCTCGGTGCAGCTGCTCACCATTGTGCTGGCAGAGGTGACGGTGGCATTTTGACCTGTGTGTACTCATCAAGCTGCATTCTCTTCTGTTTTTACTTCCACAAGACCACAAAGCGCCCTCTTCTCACTCTGTTTTGGCAGTAGGGACAGAACTATAATGTAAAGGTAGAAACACAGAAATAGTCAGAGGGCACAGTTCAAAACCATGCTGGTGGCAGAGCCAACTGGAGACTCAGCCTCCTGGCAAGTGCAGCCACCTCAGCACAGTGACCAAAGAGCCAAGATGCAGAGGCACCTTGTGCCAATACCTCACACAGGCACTGGCTTGAGAGCTGAACCCTGCCTGGGGCAGTGACCACAGCCTCAGCCACTCAGGCACAGGGCTGGAAAGGTCAGGTAGCCTCATGGCCGCGTGGCTGCCAAGCAGTTGTCAGACTCTGCCCAGGACACCTGCCAGACATTAAACCTGTTATTAATCCTGACGGACATGTCGGGCCCAGCATGTCACTGGGTTGCCAGTCAGCATTTGTACAAGACAAACAGACCCTCAGCATATGAAACAACAGCATTACTGGAAGTTGTGGGTTTTTTTTTGTTTTGTTTTATTCCCCCCCTTCTCACTCTCTGAAGACAGTTATCTCATCTGGGTCCTGTGCCTCTGACATCCAGTCACCGCCTTTGCACTGATGCTTTTTCCTGACACCTTATTAAAGGCCTATCAGGGCTTACTCTTTTATCAGGTCCACGATAAACTTACTTTTAATTGCAGTTGTCTTCTTCATTTACACAACTTGTGGGCTGCAGTTCTTTCATGCACTCTCGATTTCTGTTCCTTGGTACTGTGTACTTTGTTCTTCAGCAAATGAGCACTGAGTACCTGAAGCTAATGAAAATGTGTGTCGTATGCAGCTCTGTCTTCTGGGGTTGAGTGGATATAATCCAAGACATACTTTCTTCATGGAACAATTTTAAATAAGAATTCTCTTGCTGCAGCTTGTCCTCCTCTGTTGCCCTGCTTAGACTGAGGAAGAGAGAGGAAGACAGTAGGTACATTTAAATGCCATTATTTAGCAAAGGTGTAGCTCACTTACAACAAAGATAGATACATAAATGGAATAATTGTAATGTCCAAATGAAGCTGATATAAATGAGTATATATATACACAAATATAAAATTTAAAGTGATGTATTTCATTACCCTCTCCCACAAAAGAATAAGCTATTTTTTTAATTTGTTATTAAACAGCGAGTACTCATTAAAAGCTCAGTTCATTGGGAAAAAAAAAAAAAAGTACAATGCAATTAAACTGTACTACAGACTAATTAATATGGGAATTGGGTGATTCAAATATCTTTAAAGGGATGGAAGTGGGGACCATAGGCAGCATGGGCTTGTACTAGTCATCTTCATTAGCCCAGAAGATGGATTTTCTGCTACATATAGGTTTTGCTGAGGGCTCTATTGTTTCTTTGTTGTCGTTGTTTTTTTTATAGTTTCAAAGGAAGTCTGGAAAAAAAATGTAATGCAGATCTTTACAAAATCTGGAGAAAAATCTTTAAGAAATAATTAAAAAAAGGGACTAGATTTAGATATTACTTATCCTCGTAACACATTCAGCTCTCACTTCTCCTGAGGAGACCCACTCTTGGCTCTCCACATCTTTCCTTTACACAAATACATTTGAAACAACTTAGAACTAGAAAGTATAATATAAGATGCTCAGCATGTTTAGCACCTCAGTCATGTAGTATCTTTTCCCTATGGGAGATCCCTGTTAGTTTGTTCTTACCAAAGGCTGCTGATTCAAGAACAATTCTTACGAGCTGTCCAATTTCTTGTGAGTCAGAAGACGTTTACCAGTTATAGAACAGACTTTTATGAAATGTATCTGGCTGCCTTTCTTGTAATTGAGATGAAAGAAGTATGCTGATTCTCTAAGGAAATGCCATTCAAGGAGCCTGCTAACATTTTATTTATTTATTTATTTTTTAAACTCAGTCCAGAAGTTAACCAGTTTAGAAGTAGAATGTCACATGAGTCAAGACTGAAAACTTGCCACTCACTTTTGATTATAATAGCATCATAAAAACAGTTAAAAGCAGAGGGTCCTGCTCCAGAAACGTGCTAAAAATTGTTGTTGTATACCAAAAGCTAGGATGAGCTTTGGATTAAAAGCCAAACAAAAGTTTGATGATGATGATGGTGCCCCCAAGCCAGTTGCCTAGAAATCTTTGTCTTGTTATTTATCTTGATGGGAGCATCGTAAGTCTGACTACTCTGATTCCTGTCTTTTGCAGGTCAGTCAGTCATTATATCACATGACTTTACTGTTTGAAGCAGAAGAAAAGCCTAAGTCTAAGACTTTTTTAAGATCTGATGTTTCAATGACCTGAGATCTTGGAAATCCAATTGGCTGACATACTATTGCTTTATATCCAATATGTCATTTATACAACTGCTGCATTTACACCAAAGCATAAGACCATAAATCAGATTGCCTTTGAATCTCTAGTATTTTCCTCCCAGTTTGTAGAGCTGTAAATTACTCTGCAGGATGACAAACACTGATCTGACTGTTAGATCATTGTGTTATATAGCTGTGTTATGAAGCAAAACCCATTCACAGATACTCATTCATTTGAGAGAGATGTCACTGGCCTAACACAATGAGCTTCTTTCAAGCTCTCCCTTCCATTTCATTCTGTTATTTCTCTGTTAATAAATAAATAAAATCCCCACTGGATTATGGCTATAGGAGATGAAAGAACTCTTTTTTTTCATGTCAACATTGTGTAGTGCCGATGATGTCTGGCAACAGTCAAACCTGGCTCCAGCTTCTGTTCTGTTTTCCTTATTAGCATTTTGCTTGGCTGTCCCTGCCAGTCTCCTGGACATTTCTGAACTCTGTGAATTGTTGCAAATATTGCAACGTCCAAGTGTGAAATGAACTGCATGGAAACTCCTGGGATCCTGTTAACAGTGTATTAACAATAACCTCAAGTTCACAGGAAACAACAGGCACCTGTTCAAGGGGGAACATGTTCTTAAATTGACATTCAATTATCACTGCATATTTTAGCATTGTTTTTGCACCTTATCTAAGACCCACCATGAGCCTTGCAAGCCTGTTTACTAATTTAATACCAGTCTTCAGAAACCAAGACAAAAATGACTATAATAAGAATTGGAGTATACCAAAAACAGTGTTTAAAAATATTATATGGGGAAAAAAATGTATTTATTGCAATTATGGTTTATTCGACTATAAATTCAGATGACATGCCTTATGTAAACCAGGTATTTAACCTTAATATTTACCTCTAAATTATTTAAATCACATACAAAAGATTTGATTTTTTTATAATGGAAACTGTTACAAAATTACAACAAAGGAAATGGTAAATAGTACTCAAGAGTATTTCTCGTAACAGTGGAGTACCTTAAACATTTAATAATTATAGTCCACATTTTCAGACTGGAAAACTAAAACTTTATGTCAGGAAGTATTTCAAAAAGTGTTATATGTTTTAAATCAATTCCCACATTATAAAGAAATGTGTATTACCAGTAGCCTACTATAAAATTAAACCACATCTATATTCAGTCAGCGGCACAGGAATGATGTGCAGGCCTTTAAAAAAAAAATAAAATAAATAAAAAGCTCTTACTCATCTGTACAATACTGGAGCTCTGAAGGAATACAGTCTCTGGATTGCTTAAATGCAGAACAATTCTTTTTTCCAATTCTGGAGAATTTTCATGAACTCACCAGGAGCTGACAGGAGGTCCGTGACTTAACCATTTTCATGTATACCCTCACTACATTTGCGTATCCCCTGCAACCATCCTGCAGGGCAGTGTACCTGCCCGTAAGAAGCTCTTTAAGAGGGCATTCTTGAACAGGAGGACGAATTACAGTGAAATACAGCAGCCTCTGCAGCTTGCTGCCACGTGGGCAGACCAAAGCCCGTCAATGAATGACTCCCAGGAGACCAGTGGTGTACTGAGACTGTGGACCTGTCTGATAGCAAACTGTTCATTAACATCTGAGTAAATCAATCAGCCAGAGACTTGTTCATTCATTATAGTCCACGGGTCTGTCACGGGTACAGGTCTTCCCTGGCTCCAGAGTAGTTTTTTTTCTTCCTGTCCACTTGATAGCTTTGTCATCCAAACTTATCTGGCTTTTTCAGAGCTCATTTATAGTTTGATTTCTTCCAGCCTGATCTAAACTGTCGCTGATTAATGGTTAATGACTAATATCCCATTAACTGTAGTCTTACTCCTGAATATTTAACTACTTTGACAGTAGGATGGTGTATTTTCATTTTATGATTATACTAGACAAGTTTAACTTCTGAATTTAATCTAGAAGCCTCAAGATTTACATGTCTTTCTAGTCACAAACAGCTTTACTTAATCTTGAATCCTATCCTTCACACCCTTCATGACTGGGACACTAAATGATTTCATGTAATAAGCATTGCTAAGGACAAGTAGGTGAGAGAGAATTTGCCAGCACGTGAATGAATAATATTGAGTACCTGATAACTGGATTGTCTCTTGTAGGCTGCATGGAATAACCTGACTCTGAAAATATTTTCAGGTTGCTCAGATAACAATTGGGAAGTAGACACATACTTATATATGTATTCACATATGGTGCATGTATGGTTTATCTCAAGCTTCTAAGAAACAAACAGGAAAGCCAGATAATATATCCTAATTTACCACATAAACAGGTAGGTTACGTTATAAATATATCTATTATTTTATTAAAAAAAAAAATGTAAATAGCAGCTGAGGTATTTGTCAGGATGCATCCTCCTACTCCTGCAAAAACTATAACATTTTTTAATAATGAAAGAAATGCTGAAACAACTCTTAAGTGAAGACCCTTTTCTATCACAGTTTGGAACAATTTTTAGCAGGGAACTGTTACAGCTATAAAACATTAGGATAACCTAGAATAATACTGATCTGCTAATGTTAGGCCATAGGTACAACAATTGCATATACAGGCATGAGTGTTCATATGAGATGGGGGAAAAAAAAAAAAAAAAAAACACTTTTCTGACATGATTTTCATCTTGTAAGAGACTCTGTTTGGGAGGGCAATTAATCTCACGACAGACTTCTTCCCTTCAGTAATGACTATCAACACAATTTGGAAACAACAGGCTAAAAATATGCAACTTGATCTCTAGAGTTAAGTACATAAGGAGTTTTTATTCTTCTGGCCACTGGAAAGACCTAGAAATACATATACCAATAGACTGCACATCTTTTCTGATACATTCCTCTTTGATGTTTCTTCTCCTAATCTTCATGGATATTTTTTTCCCCCTTCACAAGTGATGCTCTAGTAATTATTTCCTGGTTTCTCGTTAGCATTTTAGTGCCATGTTCTCCCCTGAATCTGCATTCAGGCAAGTCACACTGACACCAACACCAAATTTATGAAGGGAAAATGTGTTTGCATTACTGCTAATTACTGTTAGTTGCCATTGTTTCCTGCATTAAATAACTTGTATTATCACCACTGCCTTGCTGCATGCTTGATCTCTTACCTCTATTACTCATCCCTGGGTTGACTTCTGCCTCTATCCCATTTCCAGGTTATGTCTTTGTTGGACCAAGTGATTATTTTTCAGTCAATGATCCAATTTAATCATAAAGTAAAACACCCCCAAACTTATTTACCACTGCCTTCATTTCAAATAGCTTAATCTGTCACTTTTAGATGGTGTTTTCTAACAGTACATCTCATTTTCCCCTTTCCTCTCACTTCTTTGCAGTCACGCCAGTTGTAATCTAACAATGAATGAGATTGATTAAATGGTTGGCTTGTGCATGAAACAGTCCCAAGTGGAAAAACACTTAATGGTGGTTAAATATTACACACTGCTGTATATACTACCTGAAAAATGAGCATGACTAACAGAGCAGTCAGAGCCCTTTGGAAATGCCTTTCTGGGCAGAATTGTGCAGATTTACTGACATATTTTGTCATGCCAGCTCTAATTAAGCTTGTCTAATCACTTCTCAGACAAGGGTTTCAGGATGAACATATAAATTCTCTAGGACATTATCTGCTGTAGGTGTATAACTGTCCTGTAGAATAGTAAGGAGGAAAGGTCCATAGAGAAAGTTAATACTTTTTCTTAGATTGTATAGGAAAAAGGACAAGCTTTTGGAGACATAACACTTTACTAAAGATCAGTGAAGAATGATTTTATTGTATGTCCAAAAGCATGTCTGTTTGCAATTCCTCACCTGTCTCATCTGGTCAGAAAAAAGACTTATGAACCTTCCACATCTCATATCCTTCCATCTTTGCAGCAACTGATACATCTAAAGTAAAGAAAAGTAGCTGACAAACACACTTCTCTTTATTTGGGTCTGCTTGTGGCAAACCAAAAGGGATCTAAAGGAAATTAAACAGTTCCTGCTCATATACCATCTCACCCTGAGAAATCTTTAACTCTTTTCTGCAGAATAGAACAGCTCTGACAGGTTGTGTCTCCCCAAATTGCCATAAACTGGTGTGGAGGGCACACTGCTGCTAGAGATTAGATGTAAGGTGCTTATATTCTCCCAAGGAAAGAAATTCTGTGTTTAACTTCTCACTTCGAGGGACCCTTTCCTTCATCTACTGTGTATCTTTTACATTGCTTGATCTGTAGGTAGGCTCTGAGGACACCCACAAGTCAGCTCTGGCACAGCCTTGCCAAGAATGAGGGCAGCTCTAAAGAAAACTGTCAGTGCTTGAGGAATTTTAACCTGGCAAGAGGTGGCAGCTGCAGACTGCAGCAGCTGAGAGGTACCTTTACTGCAAGTTTGAACTTGGGCACATAATTGTCATGAAAATATGACATTGTTTCCTGGGGATCTGCACAAAATTACATAGAATTATCCTCTATGGAACTCTACTTTTAAGTGCAAGTGGTATTGGTTTTGAGGTAATAACTACCAAGAATAAGCTCATTATCTCCTACTTGCTGTTGTTCATAATAATGCTGCCACCACGCTTCACTGTGCATCTCACCAAGTCTATAATCTTGTGGCTATTTGATCAAAGTGGACAAACCAGGGTTAAAAAGTACAGTACTTAATGTGAGAAATACTGGGAGGAGGAACCAGGATCCAAAATAAATTCTCCTTTGCAAATTCACATGCTAATTTAAATTGGTAAAAAGGCCATAGCCCTATTCTCAAGGGTTCAATAGGGAACAAAATCGTGCTGCAGGTAGAATTTAATTATCACATGGCTTTAAATGGTTATTGCTTGAAAGGTGAGTGCCAGAACTAGTTAGGTTCCTAACTTATACTAAAAGGAAAAAAGAAATTGTAAAAAAAAAAAAAAAAAAAAAGGACTACAGTAATGTCTGTAAAGTGCATACATTCAATAGTAAAAGGTTTCTATCGTACATAGTTACTATAATTTAGTCCGTGTCATTACTTGAATGTAGACATTGTGTATATTTTGCTTGGCTTTTCTAATTTAAACATCTTTTAAATGTTGGAACTTTAATTTGTCAGGGAAAAACAAAATATTCACAAAATACATACTATTCTGATTGAACAGATAACAAAGACAAAGCATTCCAACCTCTAATCATATTCAGCATTTTTGTGTTCTTTTGTTTTAAATGTAGAAACACTTTGAAATAATTCCATAACAAAGCTTGATGAAAGTAGCAATTAAAAAGGAATCGATCTGATACATCCTGTTCTTCAAATTACTATGCTCTGTAAAATGTAAAACTCCGTCTCCTTCACTAAAGCTTTAGTTCCCCATCTTGATTAGGCAAATATTGAAAACAATAAACATTTTTCACTAAAGTGAGTCTTTAATATGGACTAAAAAGAGTGCACTGTGTGTTACATTTTCCACAGAAGACTGGCTCTCACATTAGCGTTTGCTATTAGCGTATTTCACGTCACTCCATCATACTGTCTTTCACTCAAATCCTACATTTGTTGGAGCAGATGGAAAGTTAGTTTAAATTAATTGAAAGCATGCTGTGCACAGCTTGTGGTACCAAGAACACGCAAAGAAGAAAGAAGATACATCAATTTCCTTTGTAAGATACCTATAATTGTGAGAAGAGATCTCTTAAGAAATCATCAAGATATTATGCTCCTATTTTCTTCCATTTTTTTCTTTCTTTTTACCTTTCTTTTTTTCTTCCCCCTAGAGTAAGTTATATTACTTAGAGTGCTTTGATTTTAAAAAGAGAAGAGGTAGTGAAACTGGCTGGACACACACCATTTGAAAAATAAATTCTGTCTGTGATGGATCAAAATAAAATGGCACACAAAGTTAGTACATACTTACTGTTTCTGCAGCCTGTCTGCAGTTCTCACTAACGCTGACAAGCTTTAGGAGGTGAGTTACCTTTTCACCTACTTTAGTAAATATTTGTTCCCATTACTGGGTCCTCAGCTTTTCTTCTGCCATAACTGAAAATCTAGTTGTCTTCTCTGTTTTCTAAACCAACTGCCAATTTGATTAACACCTATATTCTTTGCTTGCCTGGAATTGCAATGGGCAAACTCATTGGCTTCTTTAGCAATCAGTATGTGGTGATTCTTCGGTACTTTTACAGTTCAAATCAGGTTCAGAACTATCACCATATAAACCATTTAATAAACAGTAGCTTTTTGACCAAAAAGTAGTGGATTTTTTGTTGTTGTTAATTTGGCCTTTTTTTTTTTTTTCTCTTTAAAATAAAACGTTCCAAGTACTTGTTTCATAGTGGTCTAAAATGTGAGGGCAGGAGGAAGCATGTACTCAGAAATGAAATGTTTCTAAGATGGATGGCATCTGTTTTTTTTTTTTTTTTTTTTTTTTTTTTTTTTGTATGTTCTGTTCTGCTAAGAAGGTTGCAGTGGGGAGGATGGGAGGAGGCTTTGTGCTTACATCTCCCTGACCCAGGCCAAGGTGAGACCCTCGGGCAAGAACAGGAGTTGTTACTTCTTGTAAAGCAACCGAAAGTGCAAAAATCAATAAGGAAAAGCAGATTCTGGAGTACAAGGTGGGAAAACAGGCAGAAAACAAGAAACCTGCAACACAAGTGTGTTGGTGTTGGTAGGGAACAGATGCAGAGTTAAGCTTTAGAGGTGATGGAAAGAAGTGAGCACCAAGTCCCAGAAGGACTTAAAGTGGAACATGCTGTGAACAGGGAATGCACTGAAATTTGTTGGACTGAGAGAGACCTCAAGGGTCCTGCACAAAGAGAGTGGCAAGGTGAGAGGTTGTCAGTTTAATCTGCATTGCTGAGTTTTCTCTGTTTCAAATGTTGCTGTTATGGTTTGCATTCAGATTTAAAAGCTTGCCTTTTGGATTTTAGATCCTTTGGCTATCCTTGGCATCTCTATCTATTTACTTATCTAGAAGTTTAAAGAAACCAAATAACATTCCATGTTTTTGTCAAAACTCAGCAAAGTAATTTTTCATTAATCTTTGGGGAAAATATTACAGGCATTTTCCCCTCCCCCTTCTGACTCCCAGTATTCTACCTTTTTGTTGCAGGCCTTATTTCTGCTAGTCGCTGAACACATTTGACCACCTTCACTACCTGCAGATTAAGTACAACTCTAGTAACTGCAAATAAAAAAGATGAAATAATGCAAAACTTTCTCAATCCTACCTCTGTGGCTTCATCCTCCTCCTTTCCTTCAGTTATTGCAGCTGAGTCTATCTTCTCTTTTGGCAATCCTCCAGAAATATTTGCTTCTTGTATTAGATATTCCTGAAATTCAATTGTGCTCTTGTAAGACTTCATATATATTTTTAGTCTCATTGACTATTTCTTCCTCAACTATCTCCATATATCCTCATTCTTCCCCAGACTTTTATTAAAATTCTTTATGATCATTATCTGCTTTTAGTTTTGTCCTTTAGATCACAGTATCTATGGAAATTTCTTTACTTTTTTTTTCTGTATTGTACAGATTCATGACCATCCGATCCAGCATTTTTTCTCATTTTTTTTAAAAAACTTTATCCCAAACAGGATCACAAGTCTTTCCTTGTACTATTTAATTCTCAACAAAATGACATTTCTTCCTGTGTGCCAAACTCCTCGATTCATAAGCAAGTATGCATAACCATAATGCAAGGGAAAATTTGGCTCCGAGACCAGAACTTCTCTTGAGCACGACAGATGTCTTAGTTCATATTAACAAGGCTCTTTGGAAATTCAGGGGATTGTATAGGTAATCATTGTTTGATTAATAATTTACAACACCAACAGGACAGAAATGAAAATTGGAGAATGACAATCTCAAAGCAGCTGTATGCCTGTCAAATATGTAAATTTTTTACCCTACTTCCTCTGTTGGGGCACTGCTTAACCCCATGTTGAGTTGCCTTTCTAGAACATAACCCCTACAACATTCATGAATACTTAGATAGTGATAAAGAAACAAGGAATGAGTGAGAATTAACTTTGCACCTCCTATAGTCACTTGAAGATTAATTTGCTTAAAAACTAATTAGCTGACATTCCACAAGCAGAGAAGCCCAAATAAAATGCAAGAACAACAACAACAAAAAAGACCCACCCTCAGAATTTTTTGCATCTTCAAATTCACAAATTCATATACAAACAAACCTCCTGCTTCTGAAAAAAAAAAAAAAAAGAATAATATATTAAATAATTAAAAAGAGTTTTTTGTTTTAAGAAGTAAATGAAACTATGATGCAGCTGAGATGCAATCTCTTAGCCCTTTCATTGACATCTGCAAGAAAAGTAAATGTCATTACATGAAACTTCTTTCTGAAGATAAAAGTATAATCTAGTTTTAAGATTACAGGGATTTAGATAGCTACAGGCATGTGGATCTGTTTCACTGACTCTGCCACTTAATGTCAAAGCCCTAGCTTAACAGCAGCCAAGTCATTAGTTAGTGCTAGTTATTAAGAAGAGTAAGTAAAATAAGTCAGCAATTGTGTCACTGAGCCAATGATGTAATTAGCACCTTAGTTTGGAGGCAATTCTTTTCCCATCAGAGGAAGAAAATTAGGCAAGAGGAAGTTCCCTGCATAGAAGGATTCATTCCTAAGGCTATGAACCAGTGCTGGGCACAAATGCCAAATCTGCTGAAAGTTGAGAGGAAAAGAGGATGAGTAGAATCCAGAATTCTAATTAAAGAGAATAAGTGTTTTAGAAGCTATCAGAGCTTTTAGTAGTTATAGTAGCATAAAGCCAAGACAAACATTCTGAAATAGATTCTAGTTAAGGGGTGGAGAATGATTTTGACATTTCTCAAATCTTACCCAGGATACTCCAAGATTAGTGGAAATTTAAGTTCTCAAACCAGGGCACTTCAAGGAAGCCAATAGAATGCAGACCTTTTTTAAGCAAAAAGATCAATATTTTTCATTTTTTCAGTGAACTCTTCCAAATCATTCTCATAAAATTAGACAAAACATTCTAAAGTAGGCTGACTGAATAAAAATATAATATTGAGCATTAACTGAGAATACTGAGAACACAGTAAAACTTTTTTTTTTAAACAATCAGAGGAAGAGTGAAATACATTTTGGTGCTAAGGTTTTGAACATGAATACATTTTGCCAAATCTTTCTATATTTAAACCCCTATAGTATCGTGACTGTACTGAATAAAATTACTAGTATCTATCACACACAAAAAAAGGAAATTCAGTCTTTCCTTGAGCAGTTCAAAAAGATAGGGAATCCAGAGCTTCCCTATGCAGTGTTCACCTTACAATTAAAAAAATATATATTTTACTTCACAATTCTCTGTGTTTAACTCATGTGTAGTTCCTGTTATCTCCTCTGTTTGTGAAGACACTTGTATGAACCTGCTGTGCTTTTCCCTGACTAAATTATTTCTATGTGGAAAAAAGACTGTTGTCAATCTTCTTTACATTCTACTTATTACCTTTAGTTATTTCTATCATTTTAGGGCCTTTTTTTTTTTTTTTCTTCTTCTCTCTTTCTCTATAAACTCGCCATAAACCTTGTGGTTTGGACTATGTAAAACTTGGCCCTTGGCCTCCTCACTGGCAGAGCAGCACAAGAAGCTGAAAAGACTGGACTTATTAGTAGCACTGCTCTGCAACAAGCAAAACATTGGGGTGATTCCAGCATTATTCTCATCCTAAATCCAAAACATAGAACTGTACCAGCTCCATCGAAGAAAATTAACTCCATCCCAGCTGAAATCAGGACAAACCTAAAGAAACAATACAGACGCCAAGACTAAACTGGGTTCTTTGGTATCAACCTCTGCAGTACTGAGTTCCAGAGAGGATCCAGCTCCATACAAGACAGAATTCCCCACTTTCAGTTTTACAGCAAAACCATGCAGCTACGCGAATATGACTTTATTGTGATTGAGTGCAGACAGGCCTCCAAATTCAACAAAACAGAGCATGTGACCACAGCAAAAGAGAGGATGAGAAAGAAAACCAATGAGAGAACAAGCTTGGCATTAGCAGTTTAGATGTTTGATGTTGATTTTATTGTTCTCTGGAGTTATTAGGAGAACATTTAATGTTTTTAGCTGCCTTTTAGTGAAATATTAACAGCTGGAAATACAGGGGGTGAACCACCATCTTGCAGTCAGCTGGCACTTGACAGCTCAGCAGTGGTCCATAGAGTGAAATTTTGGAAGCTCTATTCTGTACAATTGCTGTTATTTATTAGCTCTATAGTCATCTGAGGTCTTTTCAGCAGAGAAGAGGGTATCTGATGCAATTCAACAGCACAACTATAGTAAGGTGAATGAGGAAATTTTATAAATGCTGCTGCTTTATCCAAAGAGATCTGATATTTCAAGTCCTGTCCAATTCCACAGTTGCCAGGGTAACAGGTTTGCATTTCTAATTGCCCCAGAGAGCCCGTGAGATTGTACAATAAGCAATCACCTACCACTGTCTCGCTAAACCATCAAGCTTTGGATATATGCAACTGGTTTCATCTGTGAAATCAGTGGGGCTTCCTGCCAAATATAGTAACGATTCTCATGTCACATGTCCCTGAGTAAAGTTAAGAAGAAATGTTCAATTAAATTGTGCACCAGGTCCTGCTCTTTTGATATCAGCTCTGTGCAAATGATTTGCCTTTCTGTTTGTTTTAAAAAAAAAAAAGTCAGAAGCTTTATCATGCAGCCCCTTTATGCATTGAACTCAAATGTTATGAGCTTTGTCTGCATATTATGTTAATTGAATTTATCTCATTTTTATGAAATATACCACACACATCCCAGGATAGGTGCAATTATCAATTTTAAACCTGCTTTAAAAAATAGAGGGGGGAGGTGGTGGTGGGGAACAACATAAAGGTGGAAAGACTGCTGTGAAGCTGTCATTACTGAAACAATGCAAAGACTACTAGAATGGGAAGGTGTCGTGAAAATATATTTACTTACTTCTTTGAAGGCAGTTACTTTAGTGTTTTTTCCTCAAGAAAAATACAGCTTCTGGCTATCTATGAAGTTGTTACATCTGAACAAGCTTTACAAAATCACGAGCAGAGCTTCTCCCTTTTACAGATGAACTCTCTCTTCCTCTCTCATTATTATTTTTTCCTCAAAGAGGAATTCATAAAATTTAAAACAGTTCCAGAGAACTGAACTCTGGAAAGGGAATGTTACCTTGTAAGTTTAGTGCCACCCAAAACAACCTGCTCCTAAGCATGAAAGAGATCAGGCTGACAGTCCACATCTGTCACTTATCAGGACACCAAAAACTCAGGCAACCACATCATCACTGATAGCAAAATAGCATAATCAAAAGAAAGAAAAAGCAAAGATTTTCCATAAAAATAGGAATGTTAGAGACCTCTCCTACACATCATTATGCAGTGCATTCATGAGGATTTTAACAAGTATTTGCCATAGATGTTTTCTCAGTTTGAGTCCCTCATATTTATCTTCCTGTAAACATGTAGCTGTGTTACAAAAATCATCATAAATGATCATATTCTAAAAAAATAAAAAAAGAAAAAAAAAGAAAAAAAAAAAGAATTGCCTCTTGCCCATTTTTTATTTTGTTTCTGCCAGCTTTAAAAAAGTAAAATAATAATAATAATAAAAAAAAAAGTAAAAAGGGAATGGCTATCAGAGCAATCAGTGCTTCAGCTTGTTGGTATAAACTAAATTTCATCTTCAAACTGAAAAGGGTAAAACCTTTAGCTATTTAGGGAGGAAAAATAGCAGCAGGAGATTGAGCATCCAATCAAAATAGCTTGAAACTGGATTGTCAAGATGCCTATTACAGATCCCTCATAAAAGACCTACAAATCAAAACTTACCAGCAATGAATAGTAGCTAATAATTTGAGCATTTAAAGTACCTAACCGGACTAAAGTCTGTCTCTAGATATACTACCTGTAAGTAACTTCTCAATTCAGTATTATTATAGTTTCCCTACTGAATTGTTCAGTTTTTTTTTTGTTGTTGTTGTTGTTTTTTTTCTTTAAAAAGGGCCTCAAATGATTCATGTGTGGAGGGAGGGGGAAAACAAAATTGTTTAAGGCAGTATTCAGTAGAAATTATTCCAACAGTTTTATACTCAGCCCAGTAGTACCTTTGCTTGAGGCAGAGATAACCTTCACCAAGTCTTTCCAAATTAGGAAGGATATAATACCTTCCCTGATACTGTCGATAGAGTACTGTACGGTACATGCATATGAAAATGGTGCAGGGCTACAAAAGGTAAAATATAAAAATCCAACATAAGGAAACAAGGCAAGAGCACTTATCTTCCAGGAGCAGAGACTAATCTTTGGGGGAATTAGCTCGGGCCATTGCTGTCAGGGTGCTCTGCTGCTGAGTTACATAGGTAACAATAATTCATTTTTTAATGGCTAGAGACCTACAGTGTAATTCCACACTAAAATCTACCCTAAAATTTATTAAGGAATTTCAGCGTGTTGGAGCTATATATCGAGATGAGATCCAATCTTCATTAACTCTCAGGAGGTATTGCTGCAGGACGGCATTGACGCTGAGCCCTCAAAGCACTGGGTATTC